ATGAACAATGCAGCACGCGAGTACATTTCCCGACGGACTGTATGTCAAGGACAGCCTCAACATAAAGACTTCCCTAAAAGCGAGAATCATAACGCTGTTTCTTAAATAATCACGCCCCTATACGGTGGAATAGGCTCGTAACAAGCTCGAGCAAGGCTGGTAACATTAGGGATGGCACGCCTTGAGGACAATATCCGGAGGGGTAGGATGTGACGGGTCATAACCATATATCCATGGACCATGGTGTATGGTCAAAGTATCACGGAATAGATCCAAGGTCATGGCCTTTCCTGTCATCCACCAATCCTCTTGACCAACTTGTGTGCGATTGTCCATAAGAGAGAGTAAAACATCCAACCCTTTTTCCTCTCTTTTCAATACCAAAATATTGAAGGGATAGTTCACTGTGTCCGCTACCGATTGGAGTTCTTTCACGGGGATGGCATCATTGTAGACGACCATGTGCGTAGCATCAGAGCGGAGGGCCACACTTAAGCCCTTGCCGTGAGCAAATTGGCAAAAATGATGATTCACAGGCTGAAGACACGCGCCATAGGTTAAGCGTATCTCAGGCTCACCGTTCATCACAATCTCTGATTGGCCGTGGCTGCGGGGTAAGTACAACATACGGGTCAAGGTCTTGACGCCCAGACCCATGGAGGTAACGAACCCCTTCAATTGATAGGTATCCGGTAGCCTCAGACTCTGCTCATCTGGTGATCCACCCGGTGATGCTGTATACAATATCTGGCTATATCCGATAGATGCGATGGTATTGATCTTCGTTAGCCCATATATTTTGAAATCACCGAAGGTCGCATTGTACATCCACTTGTCCTCATACGGTCTGAACGCCATAATAAGCTTGGACGGAGCGTCCTTCTCAGCACAGTACATACCGCGAGGCCCCTTATAAGCCGCTGATACCCACGGGATGGCGCCAAACAAGAAGATTGCAACGATATAGGTAGATGGGAGAACCATGCGAAACAAAGCTGTGAAAGCAGTACACCCTGAACCTCATTAGAACGGGGAACCAGTACGGCTACACTCAGGTATCCAGCGAGTTGACTTCGGCACTAGATCTCGAGCATGTTGTGCACAGTATGGATCATTTCCTCGCCATACAATCATATCCAAAATCGACACAGTCTCTATAAAGGATATCATGTGTAATTCAGGCAAGGAAGACGTGCACGCACAACGATCTTTAGGGGATGATTGCCCGCACAAGCGATCAGTGCAACCGAATCATCAAGAAAGGCCTGCTGCCAGAAAAGTAAGAGAATCACCCTCAGTCCGGAAGTTTGAATCGCTCATCAGTGATCAATTCACGTCCAATATATCCCATCAAACACACTATTTCGAACCTTTCTAGTGAATCTCACAAAATAACGTGCTAATAAGTGTTCAAGTGACGAGAATTTGATCGAGCTATGTTTTACAGAGAAAGTCGTTGGTGTGGTAGGCTCTTCTGAGTTTCTTCGACGTTGTCCTCGAGCCGGGCCGAAAGAACTATGTGGGAGATGCACAACGTCCATCTAACGATACGCCAACTCCTGTGCGATCGAAAAGGAGTGTCTTTCATCGAAACTTAGAGGGAGATTTACGGCGTGAACTCCGCGAGCTGAGCAATGCCGACGCACAGCGACTAACCTGGCTGGCAGTGGGTGTGGTAACGATGAGGCAAGCGCACTTGGAGGAAGTTCAAATCGAAAGCAAAGATATTTCGAAGGCCTGCGAAGTGAATACGATGGAAGGAGTTGAATTTATGTTGAATGTGTTTCTCGGTGACAACAAGGATGGATCCCGTCCAGGTCCTGTCTTCGATGAATCAGCGCTCCGCGTGAAATTCGAACGGATGGGAAACCCTCTCCTTCGAACCTACTCTGTACGGGATCGATTCAAGCGGCATCGTTACTCTTTAGAGGGAAGTCTTTTCATACTGATGACCACTTTTGCTGAAAGACTATTTCCTTGATAGTCTTTATAGCAGAGATGTACACTTCGTGGAAAGATTTCTCATTTCTCATAGCAATAGTGATCACATGTGGTCCGTATGCCATACGGCAATGCGTTATCCAAATATGAGAGTGAAACATGGAGGGATACCATCATGAACGATTCTCTTCCTGTTGATGTATAGCATTAGATCACGACCGGAGTTATAGATATACTC